GTCTTGATACTTCTGAGTCATAGTCCGCTCGCAGTTTTGTGCACATTGCTCCATTGCCAACTGGCATGGAATGCTGGTATGGCAAAATCTTAGCTCAAACTGATTTTTCTCCTTTGTTGGTGATTTTTTTTAAATAAATTTATTTTTTATCGGTGTTCAATTTGCCAACATATGAAAGGTGAAATGAATGGAATGAACGAAGGGAGGTGCCACGGCCGGCACCTCCGCCTCCGGCCGCAGGGGGCGCTGTGGGCGCTGCTGCTGGGCTGCTCTGGGCCGCGGCGCAGGAAGTCTCGTCCTCCCCCCACTTCCGGTCTCTGGCCCGGGACTTGTGCTGCGTGGAGGAGGTTTTGAAATGCCGACCGGAGATTTTGAGTGAGTCGAGGGTCGCGGAGCGAAGCCTGGGAGGCGGCTTGGGGGCCGTGGGGGCGCTCCTCGGGGCCTGGCCTCGCTGACCCAGCCTTCCCCTCCGCCACCTTGCCCTTGCAGTTCGAAGCCCAGCTGGGCCGACCAGGTGGAGGAGGAGGGCGAGGACGGTGAGTACGCCGGGTCGCCCCGGGTCACGGGCGCCTGCGCCGAGCCTGGCACCGCGGTCCGGTGCCGCATCCCCCCTCGCGGCCGGCCCCCCCCCGCGCCTCCCGCCTCCCGGCCAGCCTGTCGCCACTTCCAAGTGTTCGGCTGGCCGGTCCCCCCGCTCCCATGCCACCGCCCAAGCCTCACAGCTGCTGTAACAGCCAGCCCCCTGCTTGTGTGCGAGCGCCGGATGTCTTTATGGGCTGCCCCTCGCTTTCATCCTTGCCATTGCGCGAGATTACTCAGCCAGCGCCACGGCCTGGCACGGCTAGCCCAGGGCACTTGGTCCCCAGGCCTCGGCCCTTGGCCCTGCCGTCTAGGCCCCCGGTGTGGGCGTCATCCCAGAAGTCCCTTCATTTTAGCTTGGGAGCCCTCGCCCCTCCAGCTCACCCCTCCTCCCCGCACTCCCCTTCCTAGACAAATGTGTCACCAGCGAGCTCCTCAAGGGGATCCCTTTGGCCACTGGCGACACCAGCCCAGAACCTGAGTTAGTGCCGGGAGGTGAGTGACGACCTCTGCTCCACTCGGGGCTCCCTCTCCCCAGCAGCATTCCCCTCCCCCTCCATCACCCAAGGCTCAGTTACTTCCCCTCTTCTCTCTCCCAGCTCCACTGCCGCCTCCCAAGGAGGTCATCAATGGGAACATCAAGACAGTGACGGAGTACAAGATAGATGAGGATGGCAAGAAGTTCAAGGTGAGGCTGGGGGAGGGGTTGGGGGCCCCTTGGCCGGGAGGGGATGGTGTGTGTGTTGGGTAGGTTGGGTTGATTAGCTCCAGAGCCTTGAAACACAGGAAGTCGGAGCCTCTCGCCTCCCTCCACAGATCGTCCGCACCTTCAGAATTGAGACGCGGAAGGCCTCCAAGGCTGTTGCAAGGAGGAAGGTGAGACTCTTCTCCTCGTCTTAGAGGCTCTCCCAGGGCTGGCTTGGAGGAATTAGGAATCCTTTTTGTTGACACCGTTTTGATCTGATACCTTTATTTTTAGAAGTGGGGTTCAACTCTGTCCCTATTCTGTTGGATCAAGGGGGTTTAAGGTTGAGGGATGTTTGTGCTCTCTTGGGACCCTGAAAAGTCCAGGGTGCAGAAGTTGGGTGGTTTAGATTCTTAACTCCGCTCAGCTTGTTTACTTGTTTACCAGAAGGAACAGAGCCAAGCCCTCCCCTCAGGCGGTCATAGCAGCTCCTGTTTAACTGGGCTACATGCTTAGGAAGAAGTGATAGCTGTAAATAGCATTGGCACAATTTTCGGTGGACTTCCTCTGTGCCAGACCTCAATGGCAAGTGTTTTGCAGGAAGTGTTTTCTCATTTGCTTCCCCTAGCCATCCTGGGAGGTGGGGAACATTTGAGGTCTCCATTTTAAAGGGGAGGAAGCTGGGATCCCTGGGTGGCTCAGCGACTTATCGCCTGCCTTCGGCCCAGGGTGTGATCCTGGAGTCCTGGGATCGAGTCCCACATCGGGCTCCCTGCACGAAGCCTGCTTCTCCCTCTGCCTGTGTCTCTGCATATCTCTCTCTCTCTCTCTCTCTCTCTCTCTCTCTCTCTCTCAGGAATAAATAGATAAAAATCTTAAAAAGGTGGGGAAGGAAGCTGAAGCCTAGTTTTTTTGTTTTTAAGATTTTATTTATTCATGAAAGACACAGAGAGAGACAGAGGCAGAGATATAGGCAGAGGGAGAAGCAGGCTCCATGCAGGGAGCCCAATGTGGCACTCGATCCCAGGTCTCCAGGATCACGCCCCGGGCTGAAGGCGGCGCTAAACCGCTGAGCCACCCGGGCTGCCCAAGCCTAGGTTTTTGTTTTTGTTTTTGTTTTTTTAATCCTAGGTTTTTTAACTAGCTCAAGGCCCCTCACAGTCTGGGTGACCCCTGGGCGTCACTTCCTTATGGGAGCTGGCCCATCTCCTGTCATGGGTGCCCCAGGAATGGTTTAGCTGTGTGACTGTTTCCCCCTGGGCCTTGGTTCTCTCCTCTGGAACTTGGACTGAGAGCCGTCCCCGCCTCCTGGAGCTGGCTTGAAGCTAGGGGCTAGCACATGCCAGGAGTGGTACACGCTAGGAAATGGGAACTGCCTTTGTCACCACTCTTGGGAGACTTGGGGGAGGGAGAAGAATGTGATTCAAGGCTAAACACCCTGAAGGGAGGGCTTTTGTAGGTCGAGTGGTGGTGGGGGTCCCACTTGCGCTTACAAGTCCCCCATCCCGCCCCGAGCCCAGAACTGGAAGAAGTTTGGGAACTCGGAGTTTGACCCACCAGGGCCCAACGTGGCCACCACCACAGTCAGTGACGACGTGTCCATGACATTCATCACTAGCAAAGAGGTGAGTTGGGCAAGGGGCTGGGCCGGTGGCTGTGATGGTGGTGGCCAGGGTGTGGCAACCCCGCTCTGACTACCCCCCCCCCCCCCAGGATCTGAACTGCCAGGAAGAGGAGGACCCAATGAACAAGCTCAAGGGCCAGAAAATCGTGTCCTGCCGCATCTGCAAGGGCGACCACTGGACTACCCGCTGCCCCTACAAGGACACGCTGGGGCCCATGCAGAAGGAGCTGGCTGAGCAGCTGGGCCTGTCCACCGGCGAGAAGGAGAAGCTGCCCGGAGGTGCCTGGGCCTGGGATGCGGCGGCTTGGCGGACCACGGGGTGGGGCGGGTTGCGTGCACCTCTGGGAGCGTCCTCGGTCTCCACCTGCTGCTGTGAACGGGGCTGTCCGCATCAGAAGTTGTCCTCTCTCACTGGCAACAGCGCTGCCAGGCTGTGGCTGTGGTCTGTGTGAGCGCGCGAGACCAGCGGGGTGGTGCCAGGACTGTTAGTAACACCACTGTTGTTCCGTGTTGGGCTGGTGAACCATTCCTTTATGGGTCTGGCTGCATGTACTTGAGACTTGGAGCTGTGATTCTGCTGCAGACTCTGTGATCAGACTGGAGTGTGCCTTATTTGCCACAGAGGGGACCATGTCTGTGTGTGTGGGTGTGTGCACGCACACGCGCAGACTCACACATGTGACTGCAGCCTGTGTCCATGTCCCTCAGTGTGATTTGCTGATAGTGGGTTGAGTCTGCAAGTTTTACAGCTGTGATTTGGTGTGCAGCACATTTGTTACCTGCCATGAGTGTGGGGCCCGGGGGCTGCCCCTACATGTTCCTGTGTTCTTCTAGCTCTCAGCCCTGGGGCTGCCAGTGGGTTCTTGCTCTGACTTGCCAGATGTGACCTTCATGTCCTGGCGGTCAGTGGACCTCAGCAGAACAAACCAGATACCTGTGGCTTGATAGATGGTGCCTGGGCTGGGTCAGGGCCAGAGCTGCCAGCGCCCTGGGGTGGATCTGTCCCTCACCTGTGCCAGGGTGAGGCCTGACCCAGCTGCTTTGGTCTGCAGAGCTGGAGCCTGTGCAGGCTGCCCAGAACAAGACGGGGAAGTATGTGCCACCGAGCCTGCGGGATGGGGCCAGCCGCCGTGGGGAGTCCATGCAGCCCAACCGCAGAGGTGAGTGGACAGTGGGCACCTCTTAGTCCCATGGTCATCATTCAGGGCCTGGTTAGGGCTGTCCCCTACAAGCTGTTGCTCCTTGCCTGTTTAGCCGACGACAATGCCACTATCCGTGTCACCAACCTGTCAGAGGACACTCGTGAGACTGACTTACAGGAACTCTTCCGACCCTTTGGCTCCATCTCTCGCATCTACTTGGCAAAGGACAAGACCACTGGCCAGTCCAAGGTGGGCGGTGGCTGTGGGGATGGGTGATGGGGTCACCTGTCCTAGTTGTGCCCTAAAGGCCCCTGACTCTACCCCCTCTCCTCCAGGGCTTTGCCTTCATCAGCTTCCACCGCCGTGAGGATGCCGCACGAGCCATTGCTGGGGTGTCTGGCTTTGGATACGACCACCTCATCCTCAACGTTGAGTGGGCCAAGTAAGACCTGTCACACCCCTACCTCCCCCCACCCCTTTGCATCCCACACTCAGGTTGACTGTGGGCCCCACGTTAGTTTAATAGTCCCCAAGCCTCTTCCGAGGTACAGATTATTTAAGGTATTTTTTTTCCAAGGGGGGGTCATGTGTGGGCTCTGCCCTCCTGCATTGTCAGAGACCCCAGTTGTATGTGGCAAAGGGTCTCGGAATGCCCTTTGGGTTCTGGAGCCCTCACACTTGGTATCCTCATCACCTGTCTCTCTCTCTTAGGCCATCAACCAACTAAGCCAGTTGCCATGTTTGCTGCTGCTGTCTGGCCCCGGCCCCAGGACCCCATGGCCTTAGGAGGTAGCTCCCCAAAGCAGGGGGCTCTTGGCAATAAAAAGGCTCCTGTTGTCATATGTTGTCTCGTTTATTCACAGATGTCACCCACTCTTTGGCTCGTGGGGCCAGCCCTCTTTAGGATCAGTGCTGTAGGCAGAAATTCCTGCCACTGTGGCCTGGCACTTGCTGGTCCCCGAACAGGTCTTTGTGTAGGGGAAGAAGTGGTGGTTTGGGGCCTTTGGCAGTTCAGGGCTTGTTAGTGGCTCAGGGCCAGGAGCCACTTGTGCTCTTGGCCCCCATTCTGCTGCTGGTCTCAATGCCTTGTGGTGAGGAAGTGGCTCAAAATAAACCAGGTCATGGGCTTAGCTCAGGGGACTAGGGCTCCACGTTTTGGGGGGGTTGCTGTAACATTGAGGGGCAGGACTTGGCCAGAGTTCCCCGTGTCCTCTGGCATTTGGCTATTGCAGCTGCAGCAGCTCTGGTGACAGCACCCCAGGCTGGGTGCCACAGCCATATAAAGCAGTGGGTGGATGCAGATGGCCAGAGGCATGAGGCCCCGCATTATCTGGTGGGTTCTATAGGTCATTTGATCCACTGCTGCCTTGGCCTCATTCAAGCTGGCAAAGCCTGGGCAGCGGGCCCTCCAGCGCTGCCGAGCTTGCACGTTGAGCACCTGTGTGATGTAGTAGGGCACGTAGGAACTGGCATAGAGGGCCAGGCTGCTAGCCACCAGCGCTGCCACACGCAGCTTCTCGGCAGCAGTCATGCCGTGGCTGCGCAGCACGGCCCATCCGAGGGCACTGTAGGCTGTCAGGGTGAGCAGCAGCGGCACGCCGCAGCCCAGGACCTGCCAGCACCAAGGTGTAGGCTCTGTAGGCCTCGAGGCGGAGGTCATCCGCCATCCCCAGGCACTTGGTGCAGGCCTCAGGCCTCTCTGTGACACAGCTGCCTTCCCTCTGTGGCCTTTTCAGGTGTGAGAAGCTGAGCGTGGGTGCAGCCAACAGGGCTGCCAGTGCCCAGCCAGCAGCGCTGACGGCCCAGGCGTGCTTGGGCCGCCAGCTGCTGCGGGTGAAGAAGGGGTGGACGATGCCTAGGTAGCGGTTTAGGCTGATGCAAGTGACGAAGATGACACTGCCCAGCAGGTTGCAGGTGAAGAGGAAGCGCTCCAGGCGGCACGCGAACTCCCCATAGTGCCAGTTCTTGGGCGGGTAGAAGTAGGCGGCCAGCGGGAGCAGCGTCAGGGCATAGAGCAGGTCGCTGATGGCCAGCTGGGCTGAGAAGACCACGGCGGGGTGCCACGGGCGCTGCTCCCGCGTCACAAAGCGGTAGAAGGCCAGGCCGTTGCTGGCCACAGCCACCAGGAACTCGACTACCAGCATGGGGCACAGAAAGGCTGCCTGGAAACGGCTGAACTCACGGTCAATTTCTACTGAGAAGTTGGTTGAGCAGGTCAGAGCACCTGTGGGCAGACGGTCACCAAGTGAGCGCAGTTCCTCCTCATATGGCTCTTGAGACCTTCAGAGCATCTGCCCTGTGCCTGGTCACAGGCGCCCTCTGGGGGCACACGCTCCTGTCCTTTCTGTGCCCGGGAGGGGGCACCAGCCACAGCAACATTCTAGGGCGCGAAATCGGGCCCAGAAAAGGTCAGAAGCGCAGAGTGCTTTCCTGTGGTAATTACTAGGCTTGTCTGTGTCCTTGAACCCTCAGGAAGATGGGGGAAGGGGATCACTGCCTTCACAGGACGCATATAACCCAGCAGTGACAAACCAGAATGGGTGGGGTGGGGGGGGTCATGAAGGGGAGTCCCCTGCTGCCACTTTCAGAAACCATCACTTCCTCAGCACCATCAGAGGCAAGGCCTCCCAGCTCCCGACCTCACCGCCCATATCTCTTCTCCCAGAGGGTGCCCAGAGTCAGGTCGCATTCCTTGCCCTCGTGCCTCCCTCCTCGCTGGCAGAAAAGGGCAATGTTCATGACTCCCAGGGGGGCCCCAGGAGGGAACCCTGCCTCTCACCCGCTCACTCTCCTTTCGGGCTGTGACTCACTCCCTACAGTCCTTCCCACACCGGCTTTCTGGCTTTTCCTTAAGGCACATTCCGCCTCAGGGCCTTTGCACAGATTCTCTTTCCCTGAGTCACCAGCCCCCACTCAACCTCCTCCTGGTCTCTGGCCCTGAGAGGCCCATTCTGACCCCTCTAACAGCACGAGGCCACCCAGTCCCCTTATTCTGCAAAGCCTGTGTGTCCATCTCCAAGAGAACATCTCCTGAGGGCAGGGAGTGCCCTGCCGCTGGTGTCCTGGTGCCCAGAATAAGGCCTGGGATGCAGCAGTGTGCGAGAGCAGATCTGCACGGACCCCCTTCTCTGTACCAACTCCGCCTCGGCTTCAGGTAGACTGCCTGCTCCCGGTCTGTCCAGCAGGCTCCAGATGCCCCTGCCCTTCCCCCGCCCCAGACTGCTTCCCTGACCACACTTCTGCCTCCCCATCCCATCTCTGCTCTGGGAGGAAGTCCCCGTCCAGACATGATTAACTCCCTCCCCTCCACCTCCTCGGAGCCAGCCCCCTCGGTCCTGAGCTGAACCGCAGGGCCCAGGACACCTGCCTGGTCCAAACGACCCAGCCGCGTTCGCTCCTCACCTGAAGTGGTGGCGGCCATGGCCCGCACGCCCTGCCTCTAGGTTCACGGCCCACGCTGTGCTAGTCCCGGGCCCGGTGTTACCAGCACAGTGGCTCGCCCCTCCCTTCCCTGCAGCTCCACCCTCCTTCCCTCCACCAGCAGCCCCACCCACAGCCTGTACAGGCCTCCATCGCCTCACTCCACCCGCCCCCCCTCCGCCACCCTGGGGTTTCCTTCCTCTTCACATCTTGCTCTCCAGGGTCAACCAGTTACAGGCTTGCAAGTAACCCTGGGCGGGGGTGCTGGGGAGAGGCCCAGGCCCAGGCCCAGTTCTGCCCAGCACCTTCACCTGTGAAAGTGGCCCTGCACTTCCACTACTCAGGATGGGGGAAGGGACGCTAGATTAGGGGCAGAACCCAGTCCAATTCCGAGCCTCTCCGGGCTTTGCACCACAGGACTCCTGATCTCCCCGTTCCAAATACAGACTCAGACTTAGGTTGGGGAAACTGCTCCTTTATGAAAGGAAACCAAGGGCTGCTCCTGGAGACCCAGGTGGAAGTCCAAAGCAGGTCTTTGGGCCCCAATTTGGGGCATTCCATCCGCTGCTCCAGCTTGGCCTCAGACTACTTTCTTAGGTGGTCGAGCTTGGCCTCGCCTGCGGTCCCGGACAGCTCCTCTGCGTCCCAGCTTGACCTGGTCCCGCTGGGGCTTGCCCTTGGCCTTTGAAGGCCTGTGGTAAGTGCCTCCATCTGGCCTCCGCTCTTTTCCTCGTGGCTTCTTGCCTGGGGGCCCGGTGAACCGTCCGCGTTTGGCTGCTTTCGGGAACATGTCTGTGGGGAAGAGACTGTGTCGAGGCCACCAGGGCAAAGACAAGCCCAAGGTGCCTGGCTGCAGTAATCCCCTGCCACATACCCTCATCGGGCTCCTCTCCCACTGCCTGGCGAAAATACTCAGCTTCGTCCTCCTCTTCCTCCTGTTGGCCAGCCCCCTCTGTCTCCGGGGGGGCACCAGGGTCCTCAGCATCGCTATCCCCGCTGGCCTCTGCCCGCATCCGCTTCATGCCTGCCAGGCTCTTCTTCCTGGAAAGGGGTGCCAGTGAGGGGGGCAGCCTGCACCTGCAACCCTGCCTCACCCACACAGCCCACCGCCACACACTTGTGCGCCTCTCGCTGCTCCCGCTTGCGCTGGACGTTCTGAGCCTGCTGGTCCTGCCTCTGGGCCTTCAGCCGCAGCTTCTCCTCCTTGGCTGCCAGGATGGCCTGTAGCTCCTCCTCGGTCTTGTGCACTGAGGAAGATGACACAGGTCACCGAGACCCAAGTGTATTTTGAGACCTGCAAGGGCCTTAGACCTCCAGCCCATGGTACCCCAGCCCCATCCTCACCGAAACTGTGGAACAGCACGTTCCCCTCTCCCACACCCTCCTGGATCTTGATGAGCTGCAGTGTCATCCGAGGCCCAATCTGGAGAAACAAGGGCAAAAAGTCAGTTCTTCCTCAGGGCTGGGGGCTGCCAGAGGAGTCACTTCTGCCACTGGGCCTGCCCCAGGGCTGGGCCTCACCTCTGTGAGCCGCACAGCGCTTTGCTGTGCCCGCATGTTGCCACGCCCTGCGATAGCCTGGGGCAGCTCAGTGATGTTGTGCTCACCATCGGGCTCTGCCTCGCTCTCGGACAGCCCAGCGCCCCTGTGCAGAGGACACGCCAAGGTCAGCGGGGGATCTCAGGCTCCTAAAACAGCTCCAGGGTACCCAGAACTTCAGGGATCTCCCACCCAGTGCACTCCTTACGTAGCCAACAGCTCGCTGATGTCCTGCAGACGGCTCATGTTGGGAAACTTCTCCTGTAGAAGCTTCTTCATCCCTCGACTTGCACCCACTGGAACAACTTTGATGCTACTGCAGGAGCCAGGGCGTGAGAAGGGTGTTAGAAGTTGTGAGACTGGAGGAGGTCAGCTCTGCCTACCCATTCCCACAGTGCGTCAGAGCGTTTACTTTGAGACTGAGCAATCACAGAGCCTCAGCTGGAACACTGTCATCAGCCGCACATGAAAGTCACCCCTCCTCCACCCCCACCTCCCAATACTCACTAATGACGGAAATCTAGCTCCTGGGAGTCGGGATTGTAGTTGATGAGAAGGCAGCGCTTGATGGTGTTTAGGTTCACCTGGAAGGAAGAGGTGGGGCAAAGCACCACATGAACTATCCACAGACTTCCCTGTGTGGAGCCACACCAAGCCCACGGCTATACTCCAGAAATCTCCCAGCAAGGGGGTGTGGGGTGCTGTTAGCACTGTGGGGACTCATGGGCTGGCTCAGGCACTGGCTAGAAATCCTGGTTCTGAGGCCCACTGAAGCAGTCTACAACAGACTCCCCGATGATCGGCACCTAACAGCCTAATTTGAGACCTGCTAGTGCTGGGCGTTAGGAGCTGGGGCTCTGGAGCCAGACAAGTTAAAATATCCAGTCCTGCTCCCTGTAACTCACCTCAAACTACAATTCACTTCTGTCTGCCTGTCTCTCTGTAAAATGGAGTCACAACACCTGCCACACTGTTTAGACCAATATAGAATACACACTTCAGAAATAAAGGACCATCAGCATCATTTTCTGTCCTCCAAAGAATAATGCAACTCCTAAAAGAGCCTCTTACCCTAGAATCACAGAACACATGAGTGAAATTGGACCTCAGGACCCGGAGCTCTCAGCCTCAGTGCCAACAGGTGAGGACTGAACAAACAACCCAAGGGCCTATGTGTGGTACCTATTGTCCCAGGTGCCCCGTCCACCCTCATCTCCCACCACACCAGGCCCATCCCACCTTGTGCACATTGATGGAGGGAAACAGGTTCTGGAACATGGTGGCCATGAGCTTCACGTGCATGCCATGGGGGCCGAAACTGTTGAGCACCAGGAGAGGTGGGTGGGCAAACTGCTGTTCATGCATGCGGTGTCGGCGCAACGAGGAGACTACATCTCGCACTAACGTATACTGCAGGACAGGGTGGGAAGTGGGTGCCTGGCAGCCACATGTGGTTGGCACCACCCCAAACCCATCCCCTACCCAACACGGCCCCCCTACCATCTCCAATCCATACCTTGTTGATCCGGAAGGTCAAGGTGGGGCCTCCTGGGAGGCGCATCAGCTTCTACAGAAAAAAAGAGTTGGTGAAGAGTGGAGGCGTCCAGCTAGGGGGGCAGGGAGTGGGAACCTCTGCTCCATCTCTTCAGAGCGTTTACTTTGAAGCCAGAATCATGGCAGCTCAGAGGCATATGGGTTCATCATGAGAGCTGGGGGAGCAGGAGGGCAGGGAGAAAATCAGGACTTCCCAGGTGTTAACTCACAAAGTAGATGTTCGTTTCTGTTTTACTCAAGATCAGGAAATGGGTGACCCCAAGAGGCCCGGCCACTGCCACACAGTCCTTCAGGGTGTTTTTCTTTCGTATCTGGGAATTGCAAAAAAGAAATAGGAAGGATGATGAACATCTCTTCTTGAGCAAAGACTACAAGCTGAGGCTGTTATGACCTTTCCTGCATTTAATTTCTCCAAGAGAGAGAAACCCTCCCGACCTCTAAAGCTAATCAGGCTTGAATTTATCCGTTGATCACTGCATCGCCCAATCTGCAGATGAGGCGACTGATCCCTGAGACGTGAACTAGCTTCCTCCAGGAAGCTCTCTCTTTGAGAGAGGCCAAGTTTCCACCCTAGATTTGCTAGCTCGAGGCCCTTAACCACCAGCCCTAGGCGTCCAGCCAAGCCCCCAGCGGAGTTCATGTGCGTTCATCTGCGCGCGCCCTCGCTGCTGCCCCACAAATCCCTGAGCGGCAGGGACGCTGCTCCCCGTAAGGGTCCCTTTCTCGAGCCAAGGAGACTGAAGCCACGCGCGGTTCCGCGGCTGGAGCCACTCCGCGGCCGCCAAGACAGGGCCCATAGCTGACGGAGGAGCGCCGGGTGACGCAGACCTGCAGGCGGGTGGCGGTCAGCGGCTCCATGACCCGGCGCAGATCCAGGCTGAGCTGCCGGACGCCGCGACCCGCGCGACCCCGAGCGAACACGAACGAGTGCGGCTGCGCGGCGTAGGCCTCGAGGTTGCGGAGCTGCGCCTGGGCGCGCGCACGCTTCTGGTGCCGGGACTGCAGGCGCGAAAGGAGAGCGGTCAACGCCACGGCCCCCGGGGGACCCCACCGGCCTCCCCCTCCCCTCGGCCCCCTCGCGCCTCGCCCCCCAGGCCCGGCCGCCGCGCCTCACCCGCCCGGACTGCCCCATGCCGCCGGCCCCTCCAGCTGCACCCTTCCGCCTGCTGCTTCCGGCGCTGCGCCGCTCACTTCCGGCGCCGGCGAGGCGGTCACGTGAGGCGGCACGCGCGGCGGTGTCACCGGGCGGGCATGCGCACCAGGTGGCGGCGGGCAGCACTCCTTGGAGGGGTTGCTATGGAGACACCTGGTGCTTGTTTCTACGGCAACCGGGAGGGGCTGGGGTGTCAGGGGAGCAGCGCGGGCTTCTGAGAAATGAACCGTGGGTTCGAATCCTGCCTCGACCCATGACTGCGGCTGGGCGAATGTGAGAGCCGCTTGATCCGCGCCAAGGCTCCCGCAGGCATCCCCAAGCGAGGATGGTGATCGTTTCCCCTCTGACCCGCGAATTTAAAAAGATGATGTATGCACAACGCTTGGCACACCAGCACCAGGCACTTGGGGGAGAACCCGAGAAAAGGGCAGAGCATGGCAGCTAGGCACGTGGGCCCCAGCTCCTGAGGGCCAGCTGTCTTCCCCGGAGGCCCTGCCTGCGGCTGAGAGATGGAAACTCCGCATCACCTTCTGGAAACTTAGGGCAAGGCGGGCGCTTTGTGAATAACTCACCCCCTCCCGGTTTCCGCTCGCTCGAAGCCCCAGCCTTGGCCTCAGGCCCCTGGCTTCTTCCCCAGAACCTTGGGGTGGGGGAAAGGGATGCCCCCAACGTCTCTCTCCCCCGTCCGCTTCCCCTCCCCCGCTCGCTTCCCCCGTCCTGTCTCTCCCTCCAGTTCCTTCCCCTCTTCTCCGTTTGGCTTTCCCTCCCGTCCTCCCCGGTCTTCTTCCTTTCTCTCCCCCCCCCCCCCCCCCGCCCCAACTTTGTCTCTGCCATCAATGGCCTCTCATCGCTTTCAAGTTTCGCTCTCTCCTGTCTCTGTCTCTACCCCCATTTCTCTCTTCTCATCCATCTTCCTGATTCGCCCTGTCTCTGTCCATCCCCCAGGTCTCTCTCCCCTTCTCTGTCTCTTGGACTCTCTCCCTTCTGTCAGTCCCTCTCCATGACTTATGAGGTTTCTTCTTTGCTGCCAATGGAGGAGGCTGGAGGGGCCTGCGGGTGGGGGGCCGAGGGGCCCAGTGGTGGGGGGGGCCAGCCCAGGCCTGGAGCCCAGCCTGGCAGCCTCTCTCAGATCTGGGACGACCATTTCCTCTTTCAGCCCGGGAGTCCACTCGGGTTACGAGTTCAGGACGCTAGGAACTGGGTGGAGGACACTGCTCCCTGAGAGTGAGTCTGCAGGTCGGTGAGGCCTTTGTGCAGGTGGGAGACCCTAGTCCAGGCTCTGAGCGGGGGGGCTCTCCGTGAGTCTCTTTGCACCCCTGAGAAATGACTGCATGGTTACTTGTGTCTGTTGTCCCTGCATGATTTGGCCTGAGGATGTGACAGTGTGTGTGGGAGACAAATGGAAACATGTTCCTTGTGGTGGGCAGGTGGGTGGGGGTGCCAAGGTTCACTGCATACTTGGTTAGCACCTCCGTGCTTGCAAGCGTGAGACCTTGTGTGCCTGGGTGTGTATGTGTCTGACACACGGAAAAGACGTTCTTCACCCGCAGGATATTTTCCTGTAAGTTGTGGTGTGTATGTGTGTGTGGCCATATTTTGAACACACAGTTGCTGTCGGAATCTGTGCTGTGTTTCCAGTTGTGTCTTTATATGTGTTCTTGCCAGGCAAATCTGCACACACACACACACACAGACACACACTCACACACCCCAGAGATTCCATCTGTCTATCTTCGCGGCTCTATGCAGTGGTTTGCATGTCTCATTGGATATCCGTATGTGTCTTTGTGTCTACACGGTTTTGGGTGCATGGGTGAGTGTGAGGGTTGTGGTTATACATGTGTGGATGCTGGAAACCAGTTACCTGGGCTGAGTCCCATCGTTCTCCAGCTGCACGACTGTGGACACATCACTCATCCTCTCTCAGGCTCAGTTTTCCCAGCTGTAAAATGGCTCCATACTGAAGAAAGCAGCTCAGGGCTCAAAGATTAAATGAGATCGAAGGTGTAGAGTTGAGAGTCAGCTTGATGCAGCAGGTGCTGCTGAGGTTTGCCGCCGTCTTTCTCGGCGGTGCGTGTCTGAGGCTGGAATTCCGCTAGCTTCCTGGGGCCTGCAGCCTCCCACGCTCTGTGCTCTGTGGCGGGGGGAATGTCCGGAGCACTGACCTGTGTTATCAGGCTCTGGTGGCCTGGGCAGGGGGATCTGGCAATCCTGCCTCAGTTCTCATGCGGAAAATGCTAAATATTTACAGTTGGAACTCCTGGACTCAGCACCACAACTCTAGTCCCAGGCTCTGGGGGCGTGGGGTGGGCAGGGGTGGTTGCCAAGCCTCTTCCCTCCTGCTCTCCCACCGGCCTCTCCCCATCCTCACTTAGAGGCTCCTGCTGGACCCTCGGCTCCTCCTAGGACTTCTTGTGCCTGCTTCAAGCTTTGCCAGACTCAGGGTCTTGGTCCTGAGAGGTGAGAGGGCAGGAGGGTAGGAGGGCAGGAGGGCAGGAGGGCAGGTGGAGGCTGATTTTGTCTGTGTGGAGACCTGGGCTTCCTCACATCCACCTTCGTACCCCAGGTTGAGATCCTGCAAGGCGGTGGCTGTTACACACACACAATCTGGCTCCAAGGGGTGCAGTCCATCCCTGTTGGGGGGGTGGCTGGTGTCTTCGAGGAGGGGGCAAGGAAAGCTCCTGCTTGGTGTGCAAGTATGATAGTGAAATGCCTTTCTTCGGCTCAGAACCCTCTGAGGTTCCCACCTTACTCAGAGTAAAAGCCCAAGTCCTCTTGACGCCCATGAAGCCTTGCACATTTTGCTTCCCTTTCCTCCCTGACCTCACCTCCTCCCGCTCTCCCCCTTGCTCACTCTGTTCCAGTCCTACAGGCCTCCCTGTTATTCCACGGCACATCCAGCAAGGTCCTATCTCAGGGCCTTTGCACTTGCTGTTCCCTCTGCCTGGAACATTCTTACTCTTCTCTCTCTCCTCAGGTCTTTCTTTGCTCAAGGGTCATCTTCTTAGGGAGTCCTGACCCCTCTGTTTAAAATGGCCCCTTATCCTGGGATTCCCACCCCTTTCCTTACTTGCATGTTCTCCTAAACATTTATCACCCTCTGACCTACCCACCATCTGTTTTTCCAGCCAGGATGTCAGCTCCGTGAAGGCAGGGATTTTTTTGTTTTGTTTTTTTTTTTTGTCTGTGTTGGTCATGGCAGTGTCCTCATTGCTTGAAATAGCTCTTGGCACACAGTAGACACCGGAGGAGGGTTTGCTGAATGTGTGAACCAAGGCAACGTGCGTGACAATGAAGACCCCAGGGCATGAGGCTGCGTGGCCACCAGGATGTCTGGGTTTGGACATAGTGGAACTTGGGACATATGGGGGTCTTGGTCCTGAGAGTGTGTGGACATGTGAGACATGTTCTGAGTACTGGCAAGTGCATGCAAGAGGGCATGTATGTCCTTGTCTGAGAGGCTGCAATTGGGTGTACCCCAAGAATGAAGGCCGTGGGGGCCAGGGGTAGGTGGCCTCAGTACATGCCCTCAAGTGAAGATACTTGTAGGAGCTCACCTATGTGAGCCGAGGAACACTTGGGAGGGTGCAGCCGACCTGGGGTGTGTGGGTGTGTGGAGGGGTGTGTGTATGTGGCACCAGGCACTGAACAAAACGCAGCCTCAGCCTCTGAGAACTGATGTTCCAGTGGAGGAATTCAGATAATAAACAACAGCAAACAAACGAGGCAGTTTCAAAGAGTGACAAATGCTAAAATGAAAAAGTTGGACTGTGATAGGAGGGCCCAGGAGGAGCAACGCTAGATGGTGTTGTTGGGGAGGACTTCAGAGGAGGGGACATCCGAGCTAAGACCTGAATAAGCAGAGAGGGAGCCATGTTAAAATTATGGGAAGAAAAAAAAAAATTCTGGGAAGAATGGTCTAGAGTGAAGAAACAGCAAGTGCAAAGGCCCTGAGACAGGACTGTCCCTGGTGTGTCTGAGGAACAGCAAGGAGGTCAGTGTGCCTGGAACAGAGTGAGTGAGGGGTGAGTGGGAGGGAGAAGAGGACAGGGAGGGGACAGGAAGAGGGTGCAGGGCCTTGTAGGACACAGGAAGATTTGGGCTTTTGCTCTGAGTGAGCTGGGGGCCTAGGAAAGGCAGAGATACGCCTGACTCTGGCAGCTGTGGGAGAAACAGATCAAAGATTGATGATGGACAACTGGAGGCCTGGGGTGGGGGTGGGGCAGCTGCTGTAAAGAAATCCAGATGCTGTCTTGAGCTGAGATCATGTTGGGGGGTGGTGACCGGGGGCTGGGGTGTGTGGAGGAATTCAGGGTCTAAACAGAAAAACTGACAGGCCTGGCTGATAGGTTGGATCTGCTGTGAAAAATGGGAGACGATTCTGGGGTTTTGGTCAGAGGACGTTGGAGCTGGGGTACCGGCTACTAGACTGAGTCAGTGAGACTTACCTCTCACCCCACCTCACCTCCTCCTGCCTGTTCTCCCACTGCTTCCGCTTCAGCTTCCCAGATTTTTTTTTTTTTTTTTTAATAAATCAGGCACGGTGTAGCCTCAGGGACTTTGCATTTGCCCGTGGCCCTGGCAAGGATGCTCTTCCTCCCGACATCATTACTTCCTCCCTCACCTCCTCCAGGAGCTCTTCCCTCCTTTCGCATTGCTGGGGGGCCCAGATCCCCACATCTCCTCGCTGTTCTACTTCTATCTTGGCACCGTCTAATACACTCTGTTGATTCTCGTAGTTTATTTACTTTGTTTCTTGCCCACTAGGCCGGGATTTTTGGCTTTTGTTTCCTACTGTATTCCCTAGAACTGAGGCTGGCACACGGCAAGCACTCAGGTGAATGCTTGCTGTTTTTTGTTTTGTTGTTGAAGATTTTATTTTTATTTATTCATGAGAGACACACACACAGAGAGGCAGAGACACAGGCAGAGGGAGAAGCAGGCTCCGTGCAGGGAGCCCGAGGCGGGACTCGATCCCGGGCCTCCACGATCACGCCCCGGGCCGAAGGCAGGCGCTCAGCTCAACGGCTGAGCGGCCCAGGCGTCCCAAGTGAATGTTTGCTGAATGAATGCACGCCCCGCGGTCCCGCAGGGCTCCTGGAACTCAGTGGAGCCGCCAGGGTGGGATCCCCTTGGGGCCTCTGCAGCCTGGGGAGCGGCGGGGCTCGGGGCCTGGCCCAGCCTGGGCTCCCCTCCTTCCCCTCGTCCTCCGCCTGCAGGTGGGCCATGTCGGCGCCTCCGCTGCGCACGCTGCAGCTGCTGCTCCTGCTGGGCGCGACGTGGGCGCGGGCGGGGGCCCCGCGCTGCACCTACACCTTCGTGCTGCCGCAGCAGAAGTTCACGGGCGCCGTGTGCTGGAGCGGGCCGTCAGCCGCGCGCCCCGCCGCCGAGGCCGTGAACGCCAGCGAGGTGGCAGCGCTGCGCATGCGCGTGGGCCGCCACGAGGAGCTGCTGCGCGAACTCCAGCGGCTGGCGGCGGCCGACGGCGCGGTGGCGGGAGAGGTGCGCGCGCTGCGCAAGGAGAGCCGCGGCCTGAGCGCGCGCCTGGGCCAGCTGCGCGCGCAGCTGCAGCACGAGGCGGGCCCGGGGGCGGGCCCGGGGGCGGAGCCCGCTGCGCTGCTGGCGCTGCTCGGGGAGCGCGTGCTCAACGTGTCCGCGGAGGCGCAGCGCGCCGCCGCCCGCTTCCACCAGCTGGATGTCAAGTTCCGGGAGCTGGCGCAGCTGGTCACCCAGCAGAGTGGCCTCATCGCCCGCCTGGAGCGCCTGTGCCCGGGGGGCACGGGCGGGCAGCAGCAGGTAACGTCTAAGCTCGGCAGAGTCGCTGTCACTTCCTGCGTGCGGCCTTAGTGAGAACGGGCTCCTGCACCCCCGCGCACGGTCTCTGATCCGCAGATCTGAAACCCGAAAGGGCCCCCAAGCCTGATTCCTGCCGCTCCTCCCACAGCTCATTTGGGTCAGGACGAGACTGGTGGCTAAATCTTTACTTATCCACTTAACATTTAATATAAATGTTATATTAAATATAATAAATATAACACAGATTTTTAATTTGAATGTTTGTAGAGCCTGTATTCAAGCATATTATTACAGGTACAGAGCGGAGACCCACGGTATGGAGGTGCTATGTGATATACATATGGGCCGTGATACTGTTTCTAACTGCTGCCATATTATCCTTAATTCCGGGTCATGGCTGGCCCTGATTTTGAATAAGGTTGTTGCTTTGTGACAATCCACACCTTACGGGGCTGTTGGGAGGATTCTAAGTGAATACGCATTGTCGGAGGTAGTCTCATCATCCCTACTTTGCAGAGAAAGGGCGTCAGAGCTACAAATCAGTGGCTGTGAACGCCAGAGTGGGGATTTAGGCCCAGCTCTGCCCTTGACAGCTAGTTAGGCTTTGGGGAGTATCAGTTCTAGGGCTGGGACATGCCCCTGCCTCATCTCCCACCCATCCGGGTGTTGGTAGATTTAGGGGCCCAGTGTCTTTTCAACTGAAGGCTAGTGCAATCACATCTTAGTCTCTTGGTCAACCCAGGTGCTGCCACCACCTCTGGTCCCTGTGGTTCCAGTCAGTCTGGTGGGTGGCACTAATGACACCAGCAGGAGGCTAGACCCAGCTCCAGAGCCCCAGAGAGACCAGACCCTGAGACAGCAGGGGCCCTTGGCCTCTCCCATGCCTGCAGGGCACCCTGCTGTCCCCACCAAGCCAACAGGTAAGATGAGGGCAGGGCTGTTGGGGTGAGGAGCGAGGGGACCCCCAGTGCAGTGTGAGTAGAGGGAAATAGGAGCCAGGATTTTAATGGCAGACTTTTCTCATGGTAAGGGGACCGGAGGAAATGATGCTTCTATTCTGGTGTTGGAACAAGGAGCTATGGCTCTCATTCTGATAAAGACCCAAATTCTTACTGTTATATGAAAATTGGAAAGGAGGTACTTTTCTTTTGATGAGGGGACAGGGAATTTCGGATTGCTTATTGGTAAGCATTTAAGCTCGATCAGAGTGTCGTGTTCAGAATTTCTATTCTGGTGAGATTGTAGAACCAAGATTTAAGTACCCCAGGCTCCACATTTACTGTAGTGAGAAAAGAATGAACTAGTCTTAACTCAGGTACTGGAGACTGGATATTGGCACTCTTATTTTGGTCAGGGAATGGGAGAGGCAGGACTGCTATTTTGGTAAGGGGATGAGATGAGAATCAGGACTCTTATCCCAGTAAGGGATTGGTGGGTCCAGGCTATGTGGTCCCCGTGTCTGCACCCACAGGGCCATGGCAGGATTGTGCGGAGGCCCACCAGGCAGGCCACAGGCAGAGCGGTGTCTATGAGCTGCAGCTGGGCCGGCATGTAGTGTCAGTGTGGTGTGAGCAACAGCTGGAGGGGGGAGGCTGGACTGTGATCCAAAGGCGACAAGATGGGTCCGTCAACTTCTTCACCACCTGGCAGCACTACAAGGTAGGCGCATGTGGGCAGGGGCAAGGCTGGGCCGGGGAGGGGAGGCGACCTGCTTCTGATCTGACTTCCCTGTCCTGCCAGGTGGGCTTTGGGCAGCCTGATGGGGAATACTGGCTGGGCCTGGAACCTGTGCACCAACTGACCAGCCGTGGAGACCATGAGTTACTGGTGCTCCTCGAGGACTGGGGAGGGCGTGGGGCGCGTGCCCATTATGATGGTTTCTCCTTGGAGCCTGAGAGCGACTACTATCGCCTACGGCTTGGCCAGTACCATGGAGATGCTGGAGACTCTCTTTCCTGGCACAATGACAAGCCTTTCAGCACCGTGGATAGGGACCGAGACTCCTATTCTGGTAAGGAGAGCTCTTATTTTGGTGGGGGGTGGGGATAGGGGAGTTGGGACTCCTAAGGAGAGAGTGAAAAGAATGAAAGTGAGTGTGATGAAACTTTCCTGGTAAGAATCAGGGTAAGCAAGAGAACAGGAGAGGACTTTTATTCTGGTGGGGGGATAGAGAGCCTAGATTCCTTCTTTAATGAGGCAATTTCTTCCTAATAGAGTCAAGATTCCTGTTCTGGTGAAAGGCAGGGAGTGAGAGCTCGGAGTCTTATTCTAGAAAGGAAGTAGAGAAGATTTCTTTCCCCAATAAAAGTAGAGCTCCTGGTTTTCAGAAAGGGTGGAAAAGGTGTCCTTGTCCTTTGACAGGGGTATAGGAAGGAATTAAAGCTATTAGTCCAAAAACGAAAGTGGGGGCCAGGACTCTCAATCTGGCGAGGAGAAAGAAAATCAAGGTTGTATTCAGTAAGAGTGAGAAGGGCCAAGAGGATGCCTGACAAAAGCCTTCCACTAGTGAGGTACTGGTAGAGGCTTTTATTTTGGTGACAGGATATGGGTTTTTCTCTCTCTTCAGGTAACTGTGCCCTGTACCAGCGGGGAGGCTGGTGGTACCACGCCTGTGCCCACTCCAACCTCAACGGCGTGTGGCATCGTGGTGGCCATTACCGCAGCCGCTATCAGGACGGCGTCTACTGGGCCGAGTTTCGTGGTGGGGCTTATTCTCTCAAGAAGGTTGCCATGCTGATCCGGCCCCTGAGGCTGTGACATCTGTCCATCTGTCCCCCAGGCCCAGGGGATGTTTGTCAGCAGGAGCCCAAGTTATCCTGGCCACACTTGCTTTGTGACTTAGCGTGGGCCATGGCCCACAGACCTTCCTCTTGTGTATCTGCTCCCCAGGGCCCTGGAATGCCCCTGCCAGTATCTCAGACCCCAATGGCTCCCCGAGAGCATTTAGATCTCAGTTTGAGCTCATATTTTATAACAACACAGAATCTCCACAGAGTGTGTCTAGTTTGCATGTCAGGGGTCACTCCCCGTGCCCGCCCTCTTCCTCCTCTTCCTCCTCCTCCTTTAGGTCCTCCAGGATGAGGTTGTCCAGGTCTTCCAGGAGGCTCCCCTGGCTCAGGCAGGTGGCCACAGTGGAGCCACTGCTGATGTGGGGGTTGCTGGGGTGCAGGACCGTAGGCAGGTGGTTCTGCTTCCGGCTCTTGGGGTGTGCGCAGGAAGTCCCAGGCACATGGGGCTCTGAGGAGGAAGAGGCTCTGAGGTCATGGAGCTTGAGGCCATGTAAGACTCTGGGGGCGAAGGGGCTGCAGCCATGGGGTGCCCTGGAGAAGGAAGGGGCTGAGGCTACAGGCTATGGGGCCGGAACTACAGGAAACTCAAAGATGAAAGTCACAGGTGTTGAAGCCACGAGAGACCCAGGGACATGGGCATCACCTGACACTACAGGAGACAAAACGGGAACCAAGAACACAGAGGCCACAGGGGCAGAGGTTTCACACTGGGGTGGAACCACGGAGCCTTTAGGGGCAAGGCCACAACCTGTGGCTGATGCCACGGGAGGTGGATATTAAGGAGGAGCAGGGTCTTGGGTGGCCTGGTTTTGGAGGCCACAGAAGATGTGAAAGGAGGGGATGAGCCAAGTGGCTCTGGGGACCACGTGGAAGAAGCAGGCAGAGACCTCAGTACATAAGGCCCCAGAGGTGGATGTCCCAGGAGTCAAGGCCAAGTAGACTGCCCAGGGTGGGGGGAGGTCACAGGAACATATCAGGCCCTCACCTCGCCGGTTGTAGCAATCGGCAGCCGAGCAGGAGTGGGTGTGGGTGCTGCGGCGGTCGGTGTCCCGGTCCCAGCGCGGAGGGAGGATCCGTGTTGGATACACAGGGAAGCCGCACCCATAGCAGGGGGATGAGGATCCCATCTGTGCCCAGCCCCTGGGGGCGGGCAGGGCGGCGAGGGTCCAAAGGTAAGGCCTGGGCCAGGGTGAGGGCAGGGCAGGGGGTGGGGGGACAGGGCGGAGGGTGGGGTGGGGGGACAGGGCGGAGGGTGGGGTGGGGGTCAGCACCCTCACCGGAAGTTGTGCCGACACTTCGGGCAGTGGAACTCAGCCACACCCCACATCTTGTCGCATGGCACCGGCTCATAGCGCTTTCGGCATTTCCTGCACCGGGACACCTGGGTGTGTAGAGTGGGAGCAGGCTCCCCGTTAGCAGTGAGCCCCAGTAGCTCGATAGTGGCCGCAGTGGGGATGCTTACACCATGGAAACTGGCAAACACTACAGAGCTGGGGCGCTCCCCCCACTTCCCTGCGCTAGCTGGCTGGTAAGCCTTTACCAGAAGCACACCAGTACTGGGGGGGGGGGGGGTCAGAATCCAGGCTTGGGATTGGGATTTCCGTGGCAGCTGTCAAACTGTGGAGTCAGAGGTCGGGCTCTGGGCGCGACCAGGGTCGGAGGGCTGGGGCCTGAGGTGGAGGCTGAATGCTCTGAGACTGCAGGTCAGGGTTTGGGCTTTCAGGGGTTGACATTCTTAGGTCAGAGGTTCAGATACTGAGGATGGGGATCGGGTGATCACCTCCTTGCGCTGGGGCACGCGCCGCCACCAGACGTGGTCACAGGAGGAGCAGGCAAACTGCCGATCGACGGCGGGAATGAGGTCTTCTTGGGCACGTTGGAACATGCGGAGGTTGGCTTCTGTCAGTGGCAGGAGGGACGTCGCCACGGCCTTCAGGATAGGGACAAGGGGGTGGTCACGCCTCCTCCGCTAATATGAACACGCGTAAGTCTCCTCTCCTGCCGCTACATCTCTCCTCGTCCATGGACACCGTCCACTCTCCCCACGGATGTCCTCCTCACTCCATCTCCCCCCATCCCATACCCCGGACTCACCTGGATGTCCTGGTCCTGCTTCATGTCCTCCGGTGGGTCCTGGGTAGAAACATCAGAGGCAGGAACTGCGGGTGCAGCTCGGACCTCTTTTTACCATTATTTGTTGGGGGTGAGGCTCCTGGACGAGGAGGGAGGCAGGGTCCTGGCCCCATATGAGTAGGGAGTCCCTAACTCAGGAGGGGCTGAGCAGGGCCTGCCTGTAGAGGGCCAGGTACACGACCTCAGTTGTCCTCACAGTGGAGGGCACACCTATTATCCCCACCGCTCAGATAAAGAAAGTGAGGCAGAGCTGGGAGAGGGGTGGCAGGAGATCACCCTGAATGAGAATGGCAGAACAGGCCTGGATCCCCGCGCTCCCTCCCTGCTGGTAAATGCCACACACTTAGTGGCACTGTGAGGGGTCACCTCTGAGTCCATGCTGCTTTAGGCTAAGGGCTTGGGCTCTGGATTCAGACAGACACAGGTTCCCATCCGACTCCAGCACTTCCCGCTGCGAGGACGGAGCCAAATCACTCCCCCTGCATCCCTAATGAGGGGCATCTCAGAGCGCAGCTGTGGTTAAATGCCACCTGCTTGGCCTGCTTGGCGAGTGCCTTCAGGTTGGAATTGGAGGCAACACGCGGAAAGCCTGCTGCTGGGGAGTGCTCACTTTCCTATAATTTTTTATTTTTATTTTTGTTTATTATTATTTTTTAAAGGATTTTATTTATTTATTCATGGAAGACACAGAGAGAGAAAGGCAGAGACGTAGGCAGAGGGAGAAGCAGGCTCCAGGCAGGGAGCCCGATGTGGGATTCGATCCTGAGACCAAGGATCACGCCCTGAGCCAGGGGCAGGTGCTCAACCGCTGAGCCACCCAGGCGTCCCTCCTATAATTTTTTAAAGAATTATTTTCAGTAGGCTCCACACCTGATGTGGGGCTTGAACTCACGACCCTGAGATCAAGAGTAGCATGCTCCCCAGACTGAGCCAGCTAGGCGCCCCTCCTATTACTTTTATCATACCCTTTACACATGTAAATATAAATAACTCAGTATGTACCTTATTATACTCTTTAGCAACTATGGGGGGGCCTTATAGGAAGATGAAATGCACAGTGCACTGGCCACCAAAGTCATTTAAGGGGTAAAGTAGCCATGTTGCATTTGTGCCTCAAAGCCATCCATCCATGCATCACATGGGCTCCCCTGCCCTCTGTCCTCCCCCATCTCTTGTTTATCCTAGCCTGTCTTGCGTGTTCTTCTGCTCACTCTGTTCCCTCTTCCAGGAAGACTGTTTCCAACTCCCCCACCACCCAGGATCCCTTCTCCCCAGCATCAAAGCTGGCACCACCTCTTCCAGGAAGCCTTTCCCGACTGACCTCCAGGGGTCCTCTGTAATGACATCAGTCCTGATTCATCTCACCGCCCAGTTTCACGATTCTCTCCCCCACTTAATACCACCAACATGTAACCAGTGCCGACAGTTTGCAGGCTCCCGGGTCAGACGCATGACTAAAAAGGTGACTAAGTCAATGTGGATCATGAACTAGGAACTGGTGGTGCACAGATGGGGCTCATCATGGATACACCAGGTTCCTTCCGTTCCCGGTCCCCAGCTACCCCCATCCTTTGAGGGCAAGGGGGGCAGTTTACCTGGGCATCCAGGTCATTACTCAGTTCCTGTCCATCTTTCTGCTTTACCCCTGGTGGCAAGAGTTAAGTGTAAGTAAAAGGTCTTTGAAGGATCTTCTGGGAGTTTCAGGGTCCCCAGAACCCCAATATAGCCCCTCCCCAGAAGATGACCGCGGCGCTTCTTCACACAGACCACACCTCCCTCGCGCGCTCCCCTCTCCCAACCCCTACCAGGGCCCGGACCCCAGCCGGCTCACCGTACACGATGGAGCGCCCCACTCCGGTGTGGTCGCTGCCAAATTTCCTCATCAGAGTCCCCGCCTTCTTGGAGGATACCTTCCCATGAAACTTCTCCCGGAGGCGCCGGACGCTTTTCTCCAGCTGGGGTGGGCACAGGGGGGTTCCGATCGGGGGAGGAGAGGGGCGACTTGCCCTCCTCCATCTCTAGGCATCCTCCCCGCCCGAACTTGACCCTTGCTTTTGGCCTCCCCCACCATCCCTCTACGGCATTTCCTGGAAGAAGCCAAAGTCCCCACCGGGCATTGGGGGAGGGAGCGGAGTGGGGCGAGCGCCCCCGGCTAAGGGAGGAGGCCGGCCAGGTAACCTGGTCTCTGACCCTTGACCCTGCAGCCCCCCTTTTCCTCGAGGAGGCCGCATCTCACTCTGGGGGACCGGGGCGGTCATTATCCTTTCCGAGGGGGGGCGAGTGCCCGCCAGGGGTAAGGTCTGGGCTTCGGATGGAGTCCCCAGAAACTGCGAAGCCCCCTCGGCGCCCTCGGCGCCTCTCGGGGCCCCCCGGCCCAGGCGCAGGCATCTCCTACCTCCACACCTTCTTGAGACATGGTGGCGGCGGCGGCGGCGCGGGTTCCGCGAGGGGCCGCACTGCGCGCTCGGAGCCCCCCTACCTGGGCGCGCCCCGGGTCCAGCAGCCGCGCAGGGCAGGGGGCGGGGCCTCCGGGCGGCTCCGCCCTTCCTCCTCGGCCCCCTCTTTCGCTTTCGATTGCTGGGGGTGACGGCGTGGACGGGGCGCTCTGGCTCCGCCCCGGCTCCGCCTCTGCCCTCGCGCCCCAGGCCCCGCGGGCGCCGGGGGTCTGCACCCTGCGGCGGAGCGCGCGGGCCTCGGGCGTGGAGGCGGCGCGGCCTCTGCAGTCGGTCACATGTCCCCACGCTGCGCGGGGTCCGCGTCTTCACGTCCCTCGTGGGGGCGGGGCCGCATCGCAAGGCCGCCGCGAATCTCCGGCCCCCCCCAGCTCGCGCTCCCCCACTTCATCGCTCTCGCATCTCCCCTCCCTCGGGACCTGGGGGCCCCTCCTCGCTCTGAGGCTCTTCCGCGGCTATGTCCGGACCTGTCTGCACCTCAGTTTACTCCTCTGTAAAATGGGGATGATAACAGCGGCTACATCGTGGCTGGGTGTGATTGCCAGGATTCGAGACCCGGGGTGGAGCGCTTAGTAGCACCTGGCATGGGGTAGCCTAACGAGTCACTAAGCCGCCTACTGTGTGCCACAGCTGGAGGTAGTTGGGCGAAGGAGGAGATGCTTGTTGGATAAATAGAGGTCACTGGTGCCTAGCAGTCCAGCAGCAGCCTGTAGTCCAGGGGTGCCTGGGAATCTGCACTGTAAATCGGAAGGTTGAGAATCCTCTGGGCCAGCACAATTTTTTTTCCCCTGAAATAGGCTCCACACCCAAGGTGGGGCTTGAACTCGTGACCCTGAGATCAAGAGTCACATGCTCCACCCACTGAACCAGCCAGAGGCCCCTATTACATAAAGCTGTTCTTTAACGCGCGCGCGCGCGCGCGCGCGCGCGCGCGCACACACACACACACACACACACACACACCAAAAGAAACGGAGATGAAAAAGTATAGATGTTCTAATGTTTTCTACTTGACCTCCAAAGCTTTGTTTATGGGTCTGTGTGCCCCGTCTGGTGCCTATTAATGAGTATAAACAGTTCATGGTTCTTTGTGACTGAGTGTGGAATTTCAGGCTGAGAGCCAGGCCTGTAGCTGCATAGAGGACCTGGGATTTTATACTGAGGGAGGTGGGGAGGTGTGGAGGGGCTCTCTTGTTATACACGGTATCTGTGATATATAGTACATAATCACCACTTACCAGTGACGAGGAGGTCACAGCCAGGATGGGTGACAAGCCGGTAGGAAACAGGTGGGAAACTGATCCAGCTCCGACATGAACCAGATCTGCTAGATTCTTTTTTTTTTTTTTTTAGAGAGAGAGAGAGAGTGAGCCTTTGAACAGGGGGAGAGGGGAGAGGGAGAGGGAGAGAGAGAATCTTAAGCAGGTTCCACACCCAGTGTGAGCCCGAAGTGGGCTAGATCTCACAACCTGGAGATCACATCCTAAGATGCAACCAAGAGTTGGGATGTTTAACTGGCAGAGCCACCCAGGCATCCCCAGATCTGCTAGATGCTCACGATGATGGCCATCATATCGAGCTCTGACTCTGCGCCAGGCACCATTCCAGGCACTGAGCATCGAACTGTCTCATATAGTTTTTGTGGATCAGGAATCTAGGGATGCTTTTGCTGGGCTTTCTGGCCCAGGGTCTCTCATAAATATCGTGGTCAAGATGTTGGCCAGGGCTGCAGTCACCTGAATGTTTGAGGCTGGAGGGTCTGCTTCCAAGAGGGCTCATTCAACCTGGCCCGCTGGTGGGTGCTGGTTGTTGGGTGCTGGTTGTTGGTGGGAATGCCTCAGTTCCTCCCTACTCGGGCAGCTCGGCTGCTCGAATGTACTCCCTACTTGGCAGCTGGCCTCCCTAGGGCGGGCCATCCAACAAGAGAAGAAAAGCCAGGTGGGACTTGGAGTTGCATCTTTTATGACCTAGTGTCGGAAGTCACACAGCATCACTTCCACTGCCACCTTTTGGATATTAAAATCCAGTCGCCGGATCTGGCTTCCGTTCAGGGAGAGGGAGATCAAGACCTCACCTGCCGCTCCCATACCCCCATCTCCTGCTGGAGCCTTTCGTTGGCTGCACCACAAGGCAAGGGGAGCAAGGGATCCAGCCTTGCTATCAGCCCCTGAGGGCAGTTGATCAGGAAGGACAAACAGAAGATACAACCAGAGTATATTGAATGTTGGCCCAATTGTTGATGGAGAGAGAAACCAACGTTTCCAGCGGTCACATGGGGGCGCTGCTTACCCACCAACAGTTCTCTGAGCTTTGTGGGGTTCTCTGAGCTTTGTGGCCATCTTGGCCTGGCCAAGGGCAGCCTGTTTGTGCAAAGGTCTGAGCATTACTGCATTTTATCTTTTGTCTTTATAGAAAGGTGTGGATGAGGAGAAAATAGATGTGCTGATGACAGTGATAAGAAGTAGCCTCGGGGGGTACCCCGATGTCGGGGCTCAGTTGGTTAAGTGTCCCACTTTTTTTTTTTTTTAAAGATTTTATTCCTTTATTCATGAGACACACACACACACAGAGGCAGAGACACAGGCAGAGGGAGAAGCAGGCTCCATGCAGGGAGCCTGATGCGGGACTTGATCCCAGGACTCCAGGATCACACCTCAGGCTGCAGGCATCGCTAAACCACTGAGCCACCAGGGCTGCCCTAAGTGTCCCACTCTTGATTTCAACTCACATCCTGATCCCCAAGGCGGGCTCTGGGGCTCTCTCAAGCCGCAAGTTGGCTTGAGATTGTCTCCCTTCTTCTCCTTCTGCCCCGTCCCCCCAACTCACTCTCTCTAATACATAAATTAAAAAAAAATGTAGACTCTAATATGTTGGTATAATTGAGTCAAAGACCGAGCCCTTACTGATCTATCCATTTGATGTAGTTTTTGAACGTAAGGTGAGGTTTGGTGGAGTGAGGTCCGGAGCCATTCGCCAAGAACAAATTCTTGAGACTTCTTTGGTGTAAAATGGTCGTTTTAGTAAAGCACCGGAACAGGACCTACGGGCAGAAAGAGCGGGGCCTGAGGCTGTGAGGAGCAATTAATTATATACTCTGGGGTTGGGAAAAAGAGAGGTGTCCAAAAGGACTTTCATATGCTAAAGAGGACCCTCAGGATACCAGAGGCCTTGCTATTATCAAGCTAAGTATGCTAGCAAAGCATTAACATTAGGATAGTTGGAAGATTCCCGGAGGAATGTCACAGGTACTCTCCCCAGGAGGGGGAGGCGGGAAGGTTGTGGGGTGTCAGCTTCCGCTTGGTCCTCAGCTAGCCTTCTGCTCCCTCATCACTTTTGTTAATTTGATAGACCTGCATCAAGTGCCTCCCGTGTTGGCAGGCATGGTGCTGGGCACCATTTCTGCCCTCCCAGAGCTTAATGGTCTTAATGGTCAAAAGAAACACGAAGCAGATGATATCACAAGTAATTATTCTATTTATGATATATGCTAAAAAAGAGTCACGTAGGGGTCCATGAGATAGAATAACATGGGAATCTGATCTGGGCAGTGCGGTTAGGGAGGGCTTCCTGGAGGAGGTACCCCTTGAGCTGGAATCCTAATGCTGTGAAACACTGTGTCAAGTGTTTGAAACTAGGTACTTCATGTGATCCTCTCAGCAACCCCATCAAGAGGGTGATATTATTACAAATGGGAAAACAGGTTCGGGAACTTACTCTAGGTCTCTCTGAAGAGTGAATAAGAGTTTCCTAGTTGAAGAGGTGCAGCCTGGGTGCACAAAGATGGGTAGCGGTTTGGTCCATTACATTGCGCCAGCAGAGGGAAGGGAAGCTCATGCCAAAAGAAACAGATCTTTCATCCGGATCCTTTGAGGGTTAAGCTGAGTGACCAGTTTAATTGTGGAGGAAATGAATGCAAATGGAGCACGTGTGTGCTTTTCATAATCTAGTCCATTTCCCCTCAGTTTAGCCAAATGAAGAAATTTGGGGATGCCCAGAGTTGGAGGTGTGCGGACACAGGAAATCTCTATTTTTTAAATTTTTTATTTTTTTAAGATTTTATTTATTTATTTATTTATTTATTTATTTATTTATTTATTTATTTGAGACAGAGAGAGAGAGAGAGAGAGAGAGAGACAGAGGCAAAGACACAGGCAGAGGAAGAAGCAGGCTCCATGCAGGGAACCTGATGTGGGACTCGATGTGGGACTCGATGTGGGACTCGATCCTGGGTGTCCAGGATCAGGCCCTGGTCTGAAGGCAGCGCTAAGCCGCTGAGCCACCTGGGCTGCCCAACAGGAAATCTCTAAACTGTACGTGAGGGCATCCCTTGTTCGTGAGGAACACCTGGGTGGCTCGATGGTTGAGCATCTGCCTTTCTCTCAGGGCGTGATCCTGGATCCAGTCCCGCATCGGGCTCCCGGGATGGAGCCTGCTTCTCCCTCTGCCTGTGTCTCTCTGTGTCTCTCATGTATAAATAAATAAAATCTTTAGAGAGAGAGAGAGAGAGAGAGAGAGAGAGAAATGATAAGTAGTTTGGAACTTCATACTTTGCGTAGTCCTTAGTAAATGGGATGTTCTTTACAGCACAGAAATATATTGTTTGAGTTTTGCGAAATCAGCTTCAAACACATTTCCAGGAATGCATTATGTACAAAGGTTGGGTAACATGTTTGGGTCTCTGCTTGGATGAATTCAGTAAGTGGAAAAATTGCAATGGCTAAAATACCCGGAATGTATCCAGGGCTCACCAGGTGCCTGGCTCTCTGTGGGGTGTCTTCAGGGCTTTGGGCCATTCATTCATTTCTCTGCCTTGTGACTTCAGTGTCACTGTCCCTTTTTCAGATGACAAATCTGAGTTTCAGAATGATTAAGCAAAGTATGCAAGGCATCCAGCTTATAGGCGACATAGCCAGGGCGTGAATGCAGGCCCGCTGAGCACGACACACCTTCAAGCTAGAATTGAGAACGGGAAGTATACAGGTCAAGGGGTACACTTTGGAAGCAGTAAGGGTTTGAGTCAATTGTTAACTCTTGCTTAACCTTTCTGGGGCTCAGTTTCCCCTATCTCTGAAATGGGAATAGAGTTGTGAAGTTTCCATGAGTGCATATGGCTAAGCCACGTTAACCTACGCTGTCTGACGGGGTAGCCAGCCATCGGCCACATGTGGCATTAGCGCTCTTGAAATGTGGCAGATCCTAATCCAGATGTGCTGTCAGTGTCAAATGCACACCGATTTCGAAGATTTAGGTAAGATAACCCAAATTGGCTTTTTAATAT